TGCCTGCTGTACCTTCTCTGTAAAATTCAACTCACCTAGCCTCACTCTTTGACTATCTGTTAAAGATTGCTTTTTGGTTATCGATCCTTACCTGGCTCTGCTCTGCTCTGCCCTGCCCCTAATGTTCTCTGGTCAGGTGCTGTACTGATCATCTAGTGGCTCTGCCCTAGAGTATTCACTATCCATTTCTCCTGTTTTTAATTATTTTTTTCATTAAAACTAACTGGCACAAATATTAGGAGCAGTCGTCTATGAGCAAAGTGTGCATTTGGAAAAATATATTTAGAGGCAAATTTCAGAAATTCCAGATCATTTATGTGGTAAGAAAAAACGATGAGGACGTTGAAGATCTTGATGAAGATGTTTATTAACACCCTAAGCTCAAACCTTTTACACAGTTACAGTTTACTACCCTTAATGTAAATGAAGTTGCTCCTGTCTTAACAGCTGTGGTCTGTATGTTAATGATTCTCAGTGTCCCACACCCATTCCCTTTCTACAATTGGTCAGTCAGTCAGTCACCTTTATTTGTGTAGCGCTTTATATAATACTGATTGTGTCAAAGCATCTTTACAGTGTCAAACAGGAAAATAGTTGGTCAATAATGCAAGAAGACAATACCAAAGGGTCATTTTTTCAGTGATATCATCATCCAGTTCAGCTCTTTTCCAATAGTGTCTGTGCAATCAGTCAAGCTTCCCCAACTAAGCAAGCCAAAGGAACCAAAACTCCATCGGTGACAGAAATGGAGAAAAAACCTTGGGAGAAACCAGGCTCAGTCGTTTCCAATAGTGTCTGGGCAATCAGTCAAGCTCCCCCAACTAAGCAAGCCAAAGGAACCAAAACTCCATCGGTGACAGAAATGGAGAAAAAACCTTGGGAGAAACCAGGCTCAGTCGGGGGGCCAGTTCTCCTCTGGACAGGTGAAACCAGTATGGCGTTGTTTAACTCCAGGCTGCAACACAGGTGCAGACGATTTGTCTGGTTCCCGTGGTCTTGTGCCGATGGTTGTCGAGGTTATGAGGTCTTCACAGGGGATCTGTCTCTGGGGCTAGGTCTAGTTGACATGGTCTCCGCTGACATTCAGGGCTGTAGAGGTCGTCTCTAGGTGCTGATCCACCATCTGGACTGGATATGGACTGGATCTGGTGGCTACTGTGACCTCGGAATAAGAATGAATGAGACCAATATTAGCATAGATGCCATTCTTTTTATGATGTAGCAAATACTTCGGGTGTTATGGGAAGTGTTCCTGCTTCCGGTTGACCTATAATGCAGCCTAACAATCCTTTAACGGATTTGAATTATAGAAATGGTATATTCTAGGTATTATCAAATGGCCAGAGTTTTGTGATCGCAGCGGACGTGAAGGACTATAATGCGACATGAGCTCGCTCAAGTATTTAGGAGCTAAACCATTCAGGGCTTTATAAGTAATTAGCAGGATTTTAAACCGAACAATGTTAGGTCGGTTATTCCAGAGTTTGGGCGCTAAATAGGAATAGGATCTGCCGCCCGCAGTTGATTTTTATATTCTAGGTATTATCAAATTGCCAGAGTTTTGAGAACGCAGTGGACGTGGAGGACTATAATGCAATAAGAGCTCGTTCAAATACTGAGGTGCTAAACCATTCAGGGCTTTATAAGTAATTAGCAAGATTTTAAAATCTATACGATGTTTAATAGGGAGCCAGTGCAGTGTTGACAGAACCGGGCTAATATGGTCATACTTCCTGGTTCTAGTAAAAACTCTAGCTGCTGCATTTTGGACCAGCTGGAGTTTGTTTATTAAGCATGCAGAATAACCACCCAATATAGCGTTACAATAATCTAACCTTGAGGTCATGAATGCATGAATTAACGTTTCTGCATTTCACATTGAGAGCACAGGTCATAATTTAGATATATTTTTAAGATGGAAAAATGCAGTTTTACAAATGCTAGAAACGTGGTTTTCAAAGGAAAGATTGCTATCAAATAGCACACCTAGCTTCCTAACTGATGACGAAGAATTAATAGAGCAGCCATTAAATGTTAGTGTTTTAGGTTATTACATGCGGAGGTTTTTGGTCCAATAATTAAAACCTGTTTTTTTTTCAGAATTTAGCAGTAGGAAATTACTAGTCATCCAGTTTTTTATATCAACTATGCATTCCAGTAGTTTTGCAAATCGGTATGTTTCATCGGGCCGTGAAGAAATATAGAGCTAAGTATCATCAGCATAACAATATCCTGTAAAACAGGTAATTGCAAAGTTTTGTAAAGACATTGACTTGAAGTGTGTTTTCTGTAAAGAGGAAAATGAGAGTATTGTTCATTTATTTTATGATTGTATTTTTATACAAAATTATTTTGGTGTGATTTGTTTTTTTTTGTTAAACAAAGTATTAATATTGAATTGCAACTCAAAGAAAA